GCCTGCTTTGTAAGGACATCTTAATTTACGTGTATATATATATATATATATAATTTTAGAAAATTAAAACGTATTTCCGAAGCGGGCGATAGGATTTCAATTCCGGCTGCCGACAGCTTCTTACGGACGACCCCCAAACAACCTCCTTTTTTTTAGTGCCGACAAGTACGTAGCAAAAAAGTAAACCCACAAGCCCTCAATCCTATTGCAACAACTAGCAATATATTGGCAAAATACGTGTTAGGGAGAAGAGCCACAACAACAATAACAAATGTGTGTACTGCATATACAAACAGTGATCAAAATAATAAACCAAATCAATAGTAACATGCAAAATGGTAGCATTTAACAGCACTAAGAAACAAGTAATATCTAATCACAATCAACCGACACCATCCCTAAACTAATGTGTAACTAGAATTATACATGAAGACTACTTTGATACCACATCAAACCTTATAAACTAGCCTACTTTTAGGTAAAAGAAAACACTTCCCTTTCTCAAGGCCATCAGCATCAGCATACCAAAAAACTTTCCTCATATCAATCATTGATAGGATGCCTCCAATAAGAATAAGCATGTCATTTTCCACCATTTTTAAAATTATATATATATATTATATATATATAGATAACTAAAGAAACTTTTTCTGCTGATCACTATGCTTGCAACTAAAAATTGAAGACATTTAAAATCTAAAATCTTTTATTTTGTACATAAGGCACTAGTGGACAAATAATGAGTACTATAGGATGGTACGCCCAATTCTTGATAATGGCTGTAGAATTCCTTTTTCAAATAGATAACTTCAAAATTGATCAAACTGAGATTTAAGACAGCATCTTTAGCCAAGGGATATATTTTGTTGAATGAACAGGGCAGAAACATTCATACCTGTGATGTTATGGTCCGTGCTTGACTCCTCATTATTTGTGGTACAAGAGTTCTCCTCAGTAGAGGTACAAGAGTTCTGCAATGTTTAGTGGATAGTCAGTGAAAGCTGACTTTTAGCTTAAAATGTTTTTTTCCAATAGGTCCTCAGCCCTTATAATTTTAAGAAACATTGCTTTTTACAAATATGCTTTCAATCGCATGGATTATTGAGTATTTATTGATACAACTAATGAAAGTGAACTCCAAAAGGTCTGGACAAACAGGAAGTTTCCAAAATCATTGATATCAACATCTAAGAAAAATTCAGACAGTAGTATTCTTCTCGAGCGAAAAGATAATTCCAGACACACATTTAAGAATAACATGTGTAAAATAGAAATTCATTGTTTGTTGCACAACAGTATGTTGATGCTTTGCAATTTTTATTCAATCTCAGTATGATGTGTAAGCATGCCTACACAGTGGATGATCAAAGCAATAAAGCAGCACTGAAAAGACGCCTTCTGGCAATAGGGGAATCATCAACAATGACATCCTATCCCGTTGAACTCTGGTTTCTATACATCTCTTTAGTTCATTCCTGTCTAAAAATGCATTTCTGCTTCATTACCTTTGCTTTACTTTTCAAAGACTTCAGATCATGCAGACTTTCTCATACCCCAATTTTATGAAATAATAAGATAAGTTCTTCATATCTTTTTTTTTTCTCTAAACTATTACATAATCCACAATATCAAATCAAAATAAACTGTTTTCAGCCAATTATTATTGAAGTTTTTTTTTTTCTGATCATATGTGATAACAAGAATTCTTCTCTCAGAAGACTAACATGATAATCATTTCCTACAGACACTTGTAGCTCCACAATTCCTCAAATCTAAGATAATCGCTTCAAGCCCGCTAAATTGGAACTTGGAAATACATTTGGAGATGAGAACCATGTATGAAAATGGTTATACTAGGTACAATAAAGTAACAAAATTTACTTTTCATACCTTTAAACTAAAAGTATGTAACGCAGCAAGCATTGAAAATTTCTAAAGGATGGAACTATGATATATTTTTTTATAAGGAATTCAGAAATGTCCTACTGCTACTGAAATCTAACCATTAAAAGTGCCCACCATGCAATAACAGGATACATAACCACCTTCTAAGAGAAATCCCAAGTAAGCCAGATTATGAGCATAACAAAACCATACAGTAGCGTCAATTCATTAATAAACCAAAAATAAACCCACATAATGATATAACCAAGGACAAAAAAATTACCTCTTTTCTTGTTTGAAAAGATGAAATTGCCGCTGTCTCTAAGTTCCAATAACCACTGTGGATTGAGGAACCTGATGTTATGATTTCTACATCGTCCCTGCCCAAATAAGCATAATAAGCAGCGAGTGATTGAATTTTATGAATATAAGTACATATGAAAAGAAGTCGGGGGTTCGAAGAAGAAATAAGAAATCTCTTGCCCACCGTAAGAAAGCCTCGGTCATCCTGACAAGAGGCTCTTGCGCTCTACTCAGGGGAGTTTCCAAGCAAGCTTCGCCCTCCGCCATTGGCCTCTGGATATCTGATAGGCTGATCAGTAACCGGACTTACTCTAAACGGCCAAAATTGAAGTTTTAAATTCCCCTTCTCTTTAAATATCCGGCGCTTAGCGGTTGAACAATAGGAAACGCGCGAAGTGGGGAGCAAGACGGGGAATACCGTAAATGACTTCGCCCGAAGGAATCGGACAAAAGCGGCAATGGGGAAAAAAAACGAGGGTTTTGAGAAATCGACCGACCCTTCTCCATGGAAATGTGCGGGATTTGAGGGACAAAAGGCGAGTGTTTTAATAATATTTGCTCGATTCTTATGCATATATTTACACCACACTTAAATTTTAATTTTTAAGAATCTTAATGTATATATGAAAAATTAAATTTTACTAGTTTCAACTATTCATACATATGAAAAGTTGTGTTAGATGTAAAAATTAAATTTTGGATGTTTGATGAATAAATGCATAAGAATTTAGTTCTATGTATGTAAAATTCCCCATCATATGTGTTTATCCAAAATAATTAGAATTTTAATTTAATTTTATTAACTAGTATTAATTAATTAAATAAAAAATTAAAGTATTGATTATTATATCAACTTTATTAAAATTTAACAAAATTAGAAGTATTAATAACTAATATTTATTTTAATAAGGGTTTTATAAGATATATGTAGCACTCCATTCTTATGCATTTGTGTAGCTCACGCCAGAACTTTGAAAAAATATTACATCAGGACTCCGCACGTAGAGTTATATGCGGAGCCAATGAAATCACGTCACTCGTGAAGGTAAGAAAACAAAAAATCGGTCTGGTAACATAGGAGAATATTCCCCTCGGGCTATTCAGATGTTATTGTATGTTATTTATGTGATATTGTGTTCTGGGAATATTTCTGGTGTTATAATAACATAATAACACATCAATAACACATGAATAACATACATAACACCTGAATACCGCGGGGGGGAATATTTCACTGTGTTAGTGGATGATTTTTTTCTCACATTCACGGTGTGGCGTGATTTCATTGGACGTCGTACGTAACTCTACGCGCGGAGTCCTGATGTAATATTTTTTTCCAGAACTTTCATTTTTACATCCAAAGCGCCCAATTCTTTCCTATCGTGTCAAAAACAGCACTAATACACTATTTAAGGTAAATTGACATTTTCATACATTGGTAAGAGAGCTTTGCCTATAAATATGAAAGTTTTAAGTGTGAGATACATAAATGAATAAGAACTATGTGTTGCATATGTAAATTTCTGTAAGAAATTATGTGTTACTAAAAAATGATTAATTATGAAATTATTATCATTATTTAGTATTTAATTTTAAATTAAAAATAATAAATTATTTATTAATTAAAATTATCACAATACAATCAAATAATTTGATATAGATACCCATGGTGAGATATTCGATATATGCAAATAAGAACTTAATTAATTAAAGCAATAATTCTATGTAAATTAATTACTATATTTTTTTATTTAATTAGATTGGTAGATTAATGATTATTTGAGGTATTATCTTATGCTAATTGATCAAAAATTAAGTAGTTATTAATGATTAACGAGCTCAATAAATGTCAGTTCCATAATAATTAGCTTAATAAATTACTAGTTAATGATTAATATAATTAAAAAGCAAAGTTTAAAATCAAATTAAATTAGACTTCCTAATTACATTATCAATAGTTAATATTAAAATATAATTTAAATTGACAAAATTAAATATCAAGATAAATAGCCAAATAATTCAATGTGATTAAATCTAATTTAACCGACCGACCCTTCTCCATGGAAATGTGCAGGATTTGAGGGACAAAAAGCGAGTGTTTTTAATAATATTGCTCGATTCTTATGCATATATTTACACCACACTTAAATTTTCATATGCCAAAATTAGTTATTTTTGGGTACTTTGCATACATCACTGACTCTTGCCCTCTTTATCTCCTATTCTCCTCATTGCATGGTTTATTGTGAGATACAATTGAGCACAGATCGGACGTCGAGCGCTTGGATCAAGTAAAAAAAATGCATCTGCAATCATCACGGTGGTGAGATTTCCTAACTCCGAGTTGGTCCTAGGTTTTAGAGGTGTCTAGGCGTGTGGGTTCGATCGCCCACACAATGTGTGTACGCCGACGTGTCAACGTACCTATGTGATTAACCGTTGATTTCCTAGAGCGAGTCTTTAGGTTAGGATGTTTCCTACGTGGCAAACACCATCTATAGAGCCGAGTGTCTCCATTTTGTTGTGAGTCTTAGATACTTATCCCGCCGAGTTGGAATCTCAATTTCCCACTGTTTTGTCACTCCTAATCTCCCTTGAAGGGATTAGTTGAGTTCGGTCTTAGAGGACGGGAAAAGCTTTGTAGCTAGTACGTCCTATAAGATTGTAGGTGTTTGCAGAGTGGAAAAGACTTTGTAGCTAGTCTGCACTATGAATGGTGGAGAGTTTCCCCTACAAGAAATTGGAGGGGGAAACCCTCCACAATGTCACACCAAAACTGGAGGCGGCGATGCCGCAAATTCAAGTGTGTCAGCCCTAGGTTTCCCAGACGAGGTCGTTAGTTATGAGTGTGGCTCGCTATCATATGTGCTCGATTGCACCTCATTATGTGCATGTGCATGTCTTGCATGTTACATATAGTATGCCATATATCGCACTTGTACTTGCACTCTATACCTTGCATTTGCACTTGCACATTGCATTTACAAGTTGCACTTGCACATGCACCGTCACCACTGTGCCTCGATTGATCGTCATGGACCGGTCGGCACCACTTACGCCTCGGTCGGTTATCCCAAATCGGTCGCATCACTTGTGTTTCAGCCGGCTACCTTGGCCTGGTTGGCACAACACTTTGGTTTAACCGGATGCTCCATCTCAATCGACTGATCACTTTTTTTTTGCATGTTGTGTATGTGCATGTACATGTTTGTCTACATAATCAATATTATCTACATGTGTTGCATTCCTTCGGGTCACTGCATTATCAATATACCCTCTTTTCGGGTTGTTGTCCCGTGACATGCCCATTCCTTCAAGTTATTGTTTTACCGACATACCTCCTTTTCGGGCAGCTGTTGTCACGGCATGTCCACCTTCGAGTCACTGCCTTACCGGCATACCCTCTTTCAGGCTACTGCTGTCATGGCATGATGGCATGTCCCCCTTCGGGTCACTGCCTTACCGGCATACCCTCTTTTCGGGTTGCTGCCGTCACGGCATGCCCACCTTCGGGTCACTGCCTTGCCGGTACACCACCGTATTTTTGGGCTCTTGCCGCCATGACATGCCCAATTCTTCGGGTCACTTCCTTACCGACATACCCTCTTTTCGGGCCACTGCTGTCACGACATACCCACCTTCGGGTCACTGCCTTACTGGTATACCCCTTTTTCGGGCCCCTGCCACTACGACATGCCCATTCCTACGAGTCACTGCCTTCATGACATACTCTTTATCACTATTTATGTTTTAATTTGCTTGCATTTGTATTTTCATCTTTGCATGGATTGCAAGCTAGGCTCGTTATGAGAGTGACCCCGTGTTGGTCACGATGTCTTAACGAGAATTGCTAGCTGGGTTGATCCCGGTGAGCAATGCGAGTTAAGTCATCGGGATTGACACGAGTATGATTGTGTGAAAGATCTAATAAATCTAACTTGTGTCGCCACTCTTCGTGACTCCCTTTAGATCCTTCAAATCTTTAGAATGGGACCGGTATGGCAACTCCGTCAAAGTCATACTATACCCAGACTTACCCCACACTTAGATACTAGGTTGACGTACTTTTCGTTAGATGGTGTGCTATGCTAGCATTTAAGTTGTTAGGTAGTCTTTTTTATGCCTGACTATTATTCTTTGCTACATTGACTGCTATAGTTAGGTATCTTTCTTTTGCATTATGATTGTGGTGTGACTGCATGTTGCATATGTATGGTAGTGTGTTAGGGTGTTCTTCTACATGGAGTCATGTCTATTTATATGCACACACACAAGTACCGCTATTGGGAGAGCATGTGATGATTTCTGATCCTTTTGCTTGCATACGTTATTTAGCTCCGCCACTTATAAGGCATGACCCATGATATATTAGTTGCATGTGAGCATCCCCGGTGACACTTGTTTTCATGCAGGATTGAGTCTTTTTATTTTCTCTATGTACTTTTAAAGTTCTATGTACTTTTAAATGTACTTTTAAAGTCTAGGAGAGTCCTGTAGTAGAAATAAGATACGGGCACATGTTCTAAGGTGTTTGGCTTGGGAACCACGTGGAGGGGAACAGAAGCAGATGCTCGTGCCTCGTATCTTAATTTTGCATTTTATATTGCTGTATAGAATTAGGATTTAGCATGTATATGCGGAGTCTGCCCGCCTTTTTCTTTTCTGGGATATGTTGTTGACCCAGCGGCACCGGCCTATTTATTATTCTAATTTGTCTTGTTTTTCTTTTTGCATCATTTTGCATGTTGTTGACCTCATTTTTGGTTGAGGTCTAGTTTTTTCCTCTTTAGTAGCCTAGGGTCTAGCCATAGGATTTTAGCCATAAGGGTCTAGCCATAGGATTTTCCTGTTGACTATTCCTAGAAGACTAGAAAAGGAACCCTCACCATTAGAAATTCCAAATTTTTCTTTCCTTAACTTGAAGTTTCACATATTGGTCCTAACCTCTAGCAATTAGTAGGTGGGGTCAGTATGGAGGAACTCCAGAGGAGTCTACCGTGGGATGGTCAGACCTTAGGACTAACCCTGGGTGGTTTAGTGATGGTTGTGATGACTTACACACACTAAAATTTCTTGCATAGCCCAAACCCTAAGACCCCTTGATTTGGTCCCATGATTCCTTTTGGAAAGTTCATATGAATGAACATATACCCCTAGTCTTTGGCTAAGAGGGTTAGAACCAACATATTAAGCATTCAAAATGAGTCCTCACATGACTCCTATTGGTTTGGCATGGCTTCATGGCTTACTTGCCCGTTATAGCCTAAAATCATCAAATTACCAAAATGCCCCTACACCCTATTTTTTGCCAAAACTCCCAAAATTACCCGAATTTTCCCAAACATCATCTCAAACCACTCACCACTACCTAAATTGATTAAAATTCACCAAATTCCCAAAATACCCCCAAAATTACCCAAAATTATCAAAATGTCCATCATGACCCAAAAATTCTCGAAAATTCCAAAATCATCCCAAATATTCCCAATTTCCATTTTTGACCATCACATTGACCCAATTTGACCA